ACAAATATTAACTGCTCAAACATAGACTACATTGTGCAGTCTGTCACTCGTAGGGACAAGAGTATTCCTCAGTGGTTTTATCCTTTTCTGAACTGGCAAATCAATACAACTTTATTTTAAAGAATTACATGAATTTAACCTTAGGATTAATATATTTCCGTTGTACACATAGGCTCTGCTAGAACATACAACGGTTCATGGCCTTGATAGCTGAATACCTGCTTTCAGCCTTCCCTGTGCATATATGAAACTACCATTTACATACCAGGAACTTGTCCAAACAGCTTTCTGTTCTACTATTCAGCTCCTAGAGAACCTGTACACTGTATGCTTATTTCATTATAAGCTTGTTTATATTTGACATTTCTATAGTGCTGACATTTACTGCAGTGTTTTATGTAGACCCCAATATCAGGCCTGGAATGGATTTGTGATTTGATGTGCATGCTGGAGATTAGGGAATTAATATCCAAATCAGACAATTTTGGCAAACCTCAGTTTTTTGGCAATCTGCACATTTTGTTTGTTCACCTGAATACGTGCACAAAGATTTGTGAGGTTTGTTGAGTCTCATGGAGTCCTTTACTGTTGATTGGCTAGATTCATGAACTGTGTAACTTTCTGCAAATTGGACAAATTAATACATCTTCAGGCAAATCAAACGAGTACGATGCATGAAAGATGCATTAATATATCATATATTATTCACCCACCTAGTCATACACATGTCAACACCCACACCGTAGCGCCATTTACAAAGCAAAGTAGTTCACATGAGGTGACATGATTTTAATGTACAAAATGTGTAGTGGTGATGGCAGCAGTAAACTTTTACAGTAAACTCTCTAACTCTCTAACAAGGACTAGTGGCCACCACCTAAAATTGGTGGAGAAATAATTTAACCACACAGGGTGGAGGGGCTTCTTTTCAGTTAGGGTGGTTCAAATTTGGAACTCTCTCCCACAAGCAGTAGTATCAGCAGAGAGTATTGAATCCTTCAAAAATAATTTAGATACCTTCCTCAGAGAACGTAACATACAGGGGTAGAGGTACTCTTAAAACCTAGGTCCACACAGGGACTCATATACACACACACACACACACACACACACGCTCTGCACACACCTACACATAAGGTTGAACTCGGTGGATCCCTGTCTTTATTCAACCTCAAATACTATACAACAATGTTACATGGAGGTAATCCACAGGGAGAACATACAAACTCCATGATGACCAAGGTTGTGTTGTAAATAGTCAGATATTTTGTAATTTAAAGTAGATGTGAACCCTAAGTGGCTGATAGTTAATGTCTTAAAGCACTGCATATCATAAGCAACCACCTTGGGTTTTTTTTCATAAAAACCTTTTTTCTTTCTTTGTTTCATCTCTGTGCTACTGATCTTCTGCACTTTTATTCCAACCACTTCCTGTCTACATGCATTCAGTTTCACTATAAAAAGGAAACCTGTACTGAGAGAAACAGAGATGTGACATGTGCTGACCCCTGTCTAAGAATACTAGCTGCCTGGCTTTCTAAAGCCCTGTTCACACCTAGGCATTTTGTCAGTCAAAGCTAAGCGCAACAAAATTCTTAAAGTGACATTAAAAATTGTTTCCCTCCCCCTAATGTTAGCATTTACCCTAAATGAGGTTTCTTAATCCGATCTTCCTCTTCTTTCCTGATGTTTTCATCTGACCCTTCAGCGGTGCGGCGGCTCTCCGATCCAGCGCTGACTCCTCTCTGCTTGCAGGCACTTCCGATCCAGCGGTGTCTGCATGCGGGTGCACGCGTCCATAGACTTACCTTGCATCTCTGCTCGTCTCCCGCCTGAAAATCCAAACTGCACATGCGCCCGCCCTAAGATGCTTTGCGGCCGCCTGAGCAGTTTCTGATTCTCGGGCGGGAGCGTGCGGTGAAAACAGGGTAAGTGTAAACCACTGTTAAAGCGTTTTTGTTTTTTTACTTTTTGCCTATATCTACTGCCTGCTAAAAACAGGGTAAGTGTAAACCACTGCCTGCTAGCAGTAGATATAGGCAAAAAAACGGAGGGTTTAGAACACCTTTAAGACAAGGAATCCCATTCATTTCCATGTCCCCTATCCTCACCTGAGCATTTTGTCACACATTTTGTCGGACAAAGTTTCTCACTGAAGTCTATGGGAGCCAAATGCATAGTAATGTGCCAAACAGTATCATATGTACTTTTTGCGGAAACAGGCGTTTTTTTTCTGCTTGTGACAAAACACTCAGGTGTGAACAGGGGCCATAGAAATGAATGGGATTCCTTGTCTTTAGCATTTTTTCAGGCTTAGCTTTGAGTGACTAAGAGGGTTATTCACAATAAACCGAGCCGAAGTGAACAGAGCCGAACGACGTTCAGCTATTCTCTCCAGCTCAGTACGGTTGATTTCAGCCATACATCAGCTGAAATTAGCCATACATCGGCTGCCTTTGGCTGCCTTCGGTCAGCCAAACATGCTCTGTAAGTTCAGCTGAGCCGAAGTGCAGAAGGGGTTAGTCTCAGCTGATCCAACATCTGGATCGGCTGAGCCGATCCTCTGGCAGGCTACTCGCTGCTGTTCGGTCTATTACCATAGGGGCCGAACAGCAGTGAGTGAATAGCTGAATGCCTCCGAGCAGCATTCCATTCCGCTATTCTGTTCGGTTCCTCCGATACCTTGTCGGAGCCCGGCGGGGATATGAAAGCCGACTCTACTAAGCTCTCATCCTGATCACAGAACAGTGTCCGCTAGTTACCTAGTAACCAGCAGACGCTGTTCTGTCATTAAACAAGTAGCAAGTGTGTTGCGTTATGTCTATAACAAACAGTGATCTAACTAATTGATGATCTATAGGAGCGCAAAAAGTCATAACTGCAACAAATGCCCGTGAATTACAACACAGAGCTATTTGGTCTTCACGGACATTTGTTGCAGTTAGGACTTTTTCTGTTCATATAGATAATCAATTAGTTAGATCACTGTTTTTTATAGACCTAACGCAACACACTTGCTACTTGTATCACTTAGGTTTTGAAACCACACATTGTTGCAGCTGGTCGGGTTAGGGGGAATTCCTCTCAGCGCAAGTACACAGGTTAATTTGTTCTGTCATTAAGATGAGAGCTTAGCAGAGTCGGCTTTCATATCACTAGCTAAGGTAAGAGCCTAAGCTCTCGTCATAAAGACAGGTAACCAGGGACGCTGATCTGAATCTGCAAGTGGCTGGAGCCAGCGTGAGATGGTGTTGGCTTTAGAGACACTTTAACGAGACAACCACACTGCTCCAGTGCTTCATCCTGATCCTTCTGATTCTCACAGAGTCACTCCATGCCAGCATAAAAGGGGCTCTCTCAATTACTGTTCTAGTATGAACAAACTGTCAGATGTACCGTTTGCAGGTAAAAGTGCTGCTCCAGAGGGTTTGGACATATGACTGTAAATAAATACTGTCTTAGACAACAACCTGCTTTTATAGCTTTTTGGTCACCATACTAGCCTTTACATGCAATTTGCCTTAAAAATTAAAGATTAATTGTGTTACAAGGGTGAATGATCTTTATCCCAGTTCCAGTTATAAAAAGCCCTGAGCACAGTTTCTCTTCCAAATAAAATGTGTAGTTTATTCATGTATGCCAAGCAGTTGTTTCAAGAGGATTATTCTATTATAAGAAAGTTTTCATATGGGAACTGTAATTGAAACATAATCTGAAAGACATCGTGGGAATTGACAGATGGATCATTTTAATAATTAGTGTTTATTAAAAAAAGATGTTGAGGGATCAGGAAAGACATTTTTATTTTTCTGCTCTCACTTCAAATATATTTTAACTTTATTATTCTCCATCTTTGCAGGACATTGGCAATAGGAACACTGGTGCTACAAAGTGCCATACAACCTAATATATTTTCAGAGGTACAGCAAAGGAATCCTAGTGTCGGAAAACAACACCGATATATACACTATATGGCCAAATTCTGAGGATACCTGACCATCACACATAAACTTGTTGAACATCCTATTCTAAAACCATTCATATTTATATGGAGTGCCACCTTCTCCTTTGGGGCTATATCGGCCTCCACTCTTCTGGGAAGGCTTTTTAAAACAATTTGGAGTCTGTTTGTGGGAATGTGTGCCCCCACCAAATTAGCATTTGTGAGGTCAGGTATCGATGTTGGACGTGAAGACCTACTTTGGAAATCTTACAATTCATCTCAAATGTGTTCAGTAAGGTTGAGATCCACTGAAGTTCCTATGGAGCTGGCACAGTCATTTATGAACAGAAGAGGGCCTTTCTCATAACGTTGCTGCAAGGTTTGCTACTTTTGATTACATAGTATAAGCATTGTGAAGGTAGTATGATATAAAATAACCTGCATAAGGAAAGGAGAAAGGAGTGTGCAGTGTAAACTCCAACCAGCTCCAAGTAAAGTGGTGGTCATGTTTAGATTTTATCAAGGATGATAATGACAAGACATCTCCCTCATTATAAATGAGCTACTGCCACTGCTTTGAACTTTTTCTGATTCAGTCAATGGGTATAAGAGGTGTTAGTGCAGTGGCAGTTCCAGCATATCTCTCTATAAATAAAGAAGTGATTGGTTATTGTACCTAACATGTTTGAAAAGCTCTTTGGGCAATCGTGAATGCTTATAACAATTAGAAGCACTTTTAATGCGTTTCTACATAACCCCTTTACTACAAAGAATGATAAAAACTGTGGCATCATTTGCTTTTACCTGACGTCATCTTAACAACTAATCAGTGTATGCTTTACATGCTCTTTACAACTTACCCTAGGGAACAAAAAAGGGAAGGGCTGACTGGTTGCTAGGATTCCATTAGAGACTGTTCTTCATTGAGACATCATACATAAGGTAGGTTATATTATGCCACTGATTTAAAGGAAATAGGCTTTAGTAGACTTCTTATTTAACTTAAAAAAAAAGAAAAAAAAGAAAACATGGTATTTTTTATCAAGTTAACTTTGTTTTAAATGAGATGTTACAAAACATTTCCCATTGCTGGAAAAAAAACATAGGAAAGATTTTCGGCACTCAGTACATCACAGTATAGTAAAAGTACAATTGTAAAGAATGTTTAATTCTGGCACATCTGTTATCAAATGGGTTTGGTAATTCAGTAGTAGGCGCTAAAAAAATAAAATAAATGAAATTACAAAAAAAGAAAAGCAAACGGTTCCTGGACACTATGAAACTAAAGGACAGGAATGTGATCGGATGTCATTTTGCTTGAGCACAGCTTCATCCAGGTCTATCAGATTTCCATTAATGGTCACATCCATACAACCAGTGTAGAAGGCAGAGACAGGCGTAGTGGTAAGCGGAATATCTGCAGATAATATTAAATGTTGTGTTAGTCATTTTCCAGCAACCATTATAATTCATTTTAATCAAACCCTACATCTACACCTGGATTCAAATAGGTTTAGCAGAATGTGGTCTGAAATCAGAACTATACTCCTAAAATAAAAAATTGCTAGCAGGTAATGGTTTTTGGTAGATATGTAAATTTTGTTTCTTTCTGAATTTGGACATTTGAATGAATTCAAAGGTCCGAATTCCAATGAGGCCAAATGCAAACAAATCCGAATGTTCTTTTAACAAAATTTCAGGTCATCTGAATTTCGTTCAAAATTAAACTAAATTGGACATGTGAATGTTCTCTGGCCAATCAGAAAACCCCGTCTGAAACTAAAATGAAATTCTGAAAGATCCAAATAGCGAAACGAAACAACGTTTGGACCAGAAACCCCATAGAACGAAAAACCCAAAATGAAACGATATGAAACTAATTTTTTGTCGGCTTATGTGTCTAGTTTTTGTAAGAAAAGGTGTGTTAAGTCAAATGCTAAGAATGGAGCTAGGTTGCGGGACAATGTAATTCTTATGTACATGCACAGGAGTAACATCATAAGTGGCCATTTAATGGCCATAGAAGAGTGATGCAGAACCTGGAAAAGTGGTGGAGAAGATGGCAGCGGTTGACTGTGAGGATGGCTGTAGGAAGGCAATCTCCCAGGTAAGTGTGCCATAATATGTAAGCATGTTCACATTATGGCAAGAGCCCACCCATCGGACTTTAGTTCTGCTTTACAGTTGAACGCTAGGCACAGCTAAATACATATTTGTGTATTACCATAAGGGCTTTTGTTTGCTTCAAACAGGTTTTGCATTTCCACACGTCTATGGGAACACAAAATCTGCTTGAAGAAGGTCAAATTCAGGTCAGAAGTGGGTTAACTGCAAATCAAATGCACTTGTAAATGAATTCTAAATGATCTTAGAAGCGTTTTAGATTGGTATTAAACACATCAATGACATCAACACAAGCCCAAAGCCCATTGACACAGGCCCAAAGAGGTAGTGCCTGTATTTTCTGAGCAAAGACATGAATACAACAAATCAATAAATGAAAAGAGGACTTCTGCTTTAGACTCTCTGCATAACAACTGAGAGGACCTGGAAACACTGGTGCTTACACTGGCTTTATTGAGTAGTTTTGTGAGAGTGTTACATCATGGCAACTAACTAGATTTATATCTGTGGCAGTAAATGACAGTTGGTAAATTAAAGCTTGATTTGATTTGCTGATAGTTCTCAGACACTTTGATAATAAATAAGGCAAAGTGTTTTAGCAAATATTTAACCAATCCCAATGCATAAGTGGTCTTAGCTGCTTTTTTTTAGTTTTGGTTGGAGTATATCAGACTTTAGGGTAGGGTTCATCCCCTGACAGTTCTGCAACAGGGGATTGCCAACCATTGTCGTGTCTTATGATGAAAACCAGGGCACTGCTATGACCTGGACTTTTTGTCTCCCTTTCCTGACAGGTACTCTTTATTTAAAATTGTGCAAACACCAAGGACAATTTTAAACTGACCAAGATGTAGACTTTATTGATTGTGATAGGAAACCAAAACACCCAAAGGAAACCACACATAAACATGGGTGTAACACACAAATCCTACGCAGTGCTTTTGTGTGACTGACAACTGAACTCAGGACCCCAACCCTGTAAAGCAACCCCTCATCATACTGCTAATCAAAATCCAGTTGGTGGCTAGTGATACCACATTTTTCATAGGAATATATGGAGAAGTCAGAAACAAAGACCAGGTTGTTCATCTCACAGCAATGCCCTGGCTCTCATTTGGGACAGCCAGGGGGAGAGCTCCCTACTGAAGCAACAAACATTCAGCCTGAGATCTCACCTTGCCTCACTCCACTCTATCTGCTTCAACATCAAAAGGGGATCTGCACTACTGCAGGTCCGGTCAGAGGCAACATAGTAGGTGGTGCATGTCTAAAGAAGGACTCTAGGAAAACATTTATTAACACTTGCAGTGGGGCTTTCCCCACAATGAATAGGTTCACTACTTGTTTTTGTCTAGGTTAAAAAAAGTTATACTAACCTGATGCTCTGATCCGGCTTGTTCTTAGACCGGTCCCTAGAGCCTCACTCCCCCAGCTCTGGTCAGAGCAGAGCTCAGAGGATCGGGTGAGTATAACTTTATTATTTTTTAACCTAGACAAAAAGGAACAAACTCTTAACTCTTGCAGGGGGGGGGGGGGGTTGGGGGAAAAAAAAAAAAGAAACTAACTTTTAACCGTGCGGGGGGGGGGGGGGGGATGCTAGGGATAAAAAAAAAAGTTTTTCTGGGGCTTCTTTTTTTAAATAAACATAGTGGCAGGAAATAAAAATACCTGGAATTCCTCCTAAATATGTATCCAGATGTCCTTTCATTGCCTGATCCAAAATTGACAACTGCGTCTTCATTTCTTCTTTGTCCACATAGCGGATTTCAGTGTAGGAACTGGATATGATATTGAGAGCTGACTTTGTAATTGTAAGGGTAACCAAGAGTGTATTGTCAGTACATATCCTTTTTGTTGACAGTCGTGCCACTGTGATGTCTTCGATACTGACAATGATGTCCTTAAAAAGAAGAGTTAAACAAAGTTTATTACGGCATACATTTAGCTCATTCATTGCCATTTATTGCATTTTCAAGGCGTAGAGCTTTGATGATGAATTCAGTAGCATCAATGTCAAGATGGCAAGAGGTGACTGGATACATCTGCAGGTCATAAGGAAAATCCAATTTATAATATGCAAATCAATATTATATCAGTCTTAAAGGGTCATTAAATCCTCCATTTTTGCATATATCTACTGCTAGCAAAAAGTAGATATATGCAAAAAGTGTAAAAAAAAACGCTTTGAAAAGGGTTAATATTTACCTGTGTCTTCCCTGCGCGCTCCTGTCCAAAAATGTGAAAAATCTCAGGCGGCCGCAAAGCATCTTGGGGCGGGCGCATGCGCAGTTCACATTTTCGGCCGGGACGCGAGGAGAAACACAAGGTAAGTCTATGGACGTGTGCACCCGCATGCAGACACCATGGGTCAGGAAGTGCCAGAAAGCTCAGAGGAGTCAGCGCTGGATCGGAGACCCGCAGCAGCGCTGGAGGAACAGATGAAAAGGACAGGAAAGAAGAGAAAGATCGGATTAAGAAACATCATTTAAGGTAAGTGCTTACATTAACTTTGGGGGGAAGGAAAAAGATTTTTGACTTTAATGTCACTTTAATGCTTCCTGCTAAATTGTTGGTATCAAGAAGGCACGTTTGTAACAAAAGTAATAATTATAATGTACCGTATATAAGAAACAAATCTGTAGACATACTTGCACAATGTCAGATGACTGGTCCTCCACAGCTACTGCCAATGGCACGGTGTTTTCCTTAACTAGCGCAACCATCACCCCAGTGCCTGTTGATGACCTAATGTCCAGAGTAATATTCACTGCCCAATCTCCTTCGACTGACGTGCTGTCAGCTATAAGGAACAATTATGAATTATATCTATGTAAACAGGCAATGCCACAATGTAACTGAAAAAATAAATGCATGCATAAAATGTAAGGCACTGACTTACTGTAGTTCAGTATGAAGTGTGCCAGTCCTCCTCCAGGGTAGTAGGAGCCGTCCTCCACATCCACCAAGCAATGCTTACTCTGCTTTCCTTGAATAAATTCCTTGACACCCAGTGCTCCTTGATTCATCAGGTTCCATCCGCGGATACAGCCATCCAGTCGGGGGTTAATCTAAAGAGTGTGAAATATATAAATATATATATATATATA